CCGCCCCCAGGAGGCCGCGGGGTTCACTGGGCTCAGGGCCCCGGGGGCACCTGTGCCTGGGAGCCCTCACTCAGGGCGTGAGGACTTCGGAGTGGAAGGAGCCCACTTCTGGTCCAAGACCCGGGCTCGCATCCGGGTTTTACCAAGAGACCCGAGTGTCATTTTCCCCATCTGCACAACAGGAAACTGGTCCCGCCCCCAGGTTGTAAAGGAAACAATGGTACTGAAACAGTGACTAGAAATAAAATGTTGCGGCCAATTGTGGAAGCTGGGGGAGGGGTAACACGGGGGCTCACCGTACTATATGTATTTCTTTTGTAAAAAGTAAATTCAAAAAGTTGAAGAAAGCGCTGAAGCCACAAATTAGTTTCCGACCTGACGTCTGGGCTCTCCCCCTGGGTGGGTTTCCAGCTTTCCTCACCGGTTCCCCCGCAACACCCCGCCCCCGCCCGCCCGCCGTCAGGGAGACCTGCACACGGGCTGGCCTGGGGGGGCGGGAGCCGCTGAGGGGAGGCGGCAGGCCAGCGGCTCGACCTGGGCTGGACACCCACGCTCCTGCTCGCGGACCGCCACCCTCAGCGGGCTTCCCTGCCGCCGCAACGGGACGGCGCGCCCACTTCAGAGCGCTGTCGCGGGACGACACGCACGGACATGCGGGTGGCTGGCTGTCCACCCCAACCCGCTGCAGGCCTGGGAAAAATAACCAGGTTGCCTCACCAAGAGCCAGGATGTAACGGGACCAAACTGTAAACTGGCTGCGAAAGCCCGGGGTCTCCATGAAAATGAGCAGGCCTCAGACTCTTAGGTTAAAGAAACAGAGTTGCAGAGGACGACTCGGGGCAGCCCTGGCGGCCGGAGCCCAAGGTCCGCAGGACTCTGTTTCTGGGGAAGGGACCCAGGCTGCCAGCGACTGCTCCGACACAGACTCCAGCGGCTAGGGGGGAGTGCGAGCCCCCGCTCCCGCGGGCACGTGGGCGCGAGAGGAGCCGCAGACCCGGCTCCGGGCACGTTCCGGGAGAGCCCTACCCCCGCCGCGAAACACCGGGTTCACTTGTGTGTCGAGATCTGGCTCTGCTGTCTGGCCTCTGAACCAGAAAGCCGCGGTCTGCCGCGACCGTGTTTGCCTCTCTGTGTTCTTCTTTCTCGAGTGACGCCTTGTTTTTCCGAGACTCGTGGTTGAACGTTTTGGTGTAGTTTTGATAACTAACAGGGAAGGAAAGTTACTGGTCACCGAAGACCGGACCTCCACTGCCCCCCAACCACGCAGGGACGACCCCCCGCTGACCGGGCAGCGGTTCCTCCCGGCCCCGCCGGTCCCCTGGGCGGAAAGCAGGCGCTGCCGACAGGGCACGCTGTGTGTCCCCGGCCGTCTGAACGGCTGTGTGCTCTCGGGGCCCCAGCAGACGCCGGGCTGGAACTCCATCGGCCTCCTGGTGAGGATCAAGGAAACGGGGCCGATCCCAGTTGTGATGGGAACGGGACACGGGGGACAGAATCTCCGGCCGCGGCCACCAGGGGAAATCGCAGGGGCGTGTGCTCGCCCCATCTTCCTTTCCAGCTTCATTCTGAGCAGAGCCAGGGCCTTCCCCAGGGCAGAAGACAACTCCACCAGGAAACAAGGGGGCAACCTCAAGCCTGGCACCCAGGCAAGGTAACAGAGCACGGGAACCCGTTATAACCGACCCCACGCGTGGGAGAGGGACCGAGGACGGGGAGAAGGGAGACGAGCAGCGCCTGGCACCGGCCAGGCCCGAGGCCGCCTCCCTCGCGGCAGCTCCCGCTCTGCTCTGTTTCCAGAGACGAGACGGGCGGTGGGAGGGACGCTGCTCAGAAGGGGCGACTGAAGGGGAAGGATCCCACCGCCTCCCGGAGTTCCTGGAGGTGCTGGGCCCCCTCTGCCGGCCAGGCGGTCGGAGGGGCGAGCCAGTAGGGGCCACTCCGCCCGCGAAGGCCTGTCACAAAAGGCCGCTGGGTCACCTTGCCCAGCGCCCCCGCCTCGACCAGCAGCGGGTGGCCCCTCTTTGCTGAGCCCCCCTCCCTTTCCCAGTCCTCCCTGGCGGTGCGGGGGTGGAGGAAGCGGCGGGGGAGGCTCAGTGAGGCCTCACGCAACCACAGAGCAGCCAGCGGCGGGAGCAAAGCAGTTCCTGGGGCCGCAGCCCCCTTTTCTACCCAGTGAGGAGGCTGTCCCTGAGAGGCAGACAGACACCTGGTTCCAGAGGATTCCGTACTTTCCAAAACTGGCAGCTCTGACGGTTGGGGTCTGGCCGCCAGGCTGCTCTGCTGTGCCTTCCCAGGGACCAGCTGCGACCCCCACACCCTCTGGTCAGGCACCCTGAGACGCCCTGCACCGGGTGAGGGACGGTGCAGGCCGGTGGCCCCTGAGACTTTTCTTTGGCTTATAAAGAACTGGCTTAAACTGTGTTTTAAAGATAGTTCAGGAGTTTTATTAAGGACCAATAAAAATCGGGAGATTTCACATTAAAATAGATTTCCAGCCTCTCAGGACAATCTGAAGCCATGGGAACTGAGCGCAATCTCATCCGGCAACAATGGGAGTGTGGGGGCGCTGAGCAGCAGCCCGAGACGGGGCCCACGGTCTCTCCTGCCGCCGCAGTCCCCACCATGCCCTACTGTCTCCCGGACCCGGTCTCCTTCATGGGCACCAGTCACTTCTGTTACTACTTGCCCCTGGGGTAACTTAGGCCTGCGAGCCCGGCTGCTCGCTGTTTATATTTCATCCACCCCCCCCCCCGCCCCCGTTTGTGAACGCAGATCCGTAGCACTGCTTTTCGGAGCTGCATGCTGTACTAGTGGGAGCGCCCCACCCCCCAGACTCACCCACGAGGAAGAAACAAGCCTCTGCCGTGCAGAGGCCGTGCTGGGGCTTTCTGACAGCCCCAGACGAAACCGCCCTCACTGACGCAGGGGTGTCCACTGACTCCCCGCCGAGGCACGCCCTCCTCACGTGTTACAACACCTGTCTGTGTGTCACAGCCACTTCCGCCGGCCTCTCCGTCCACACGGCAGCCAGAGGGACGCTGAGGGCTCACGGCAGGCCCGGCCGCTGTCCCGCGTGGGCCAGCCACAGCGCCCACCGCAGCTGGGGGGGGTGGGGGGCGCAGCCCGGCTCCCGCCCACCCCTCACTCTCCTCCCCTCGTGAACCGCCTGCGAGCCACACTGGCCCCCTCTGGCCCCCACACAGGTCCCCACACAGGCCGTTTGTTTCACCCCCTTGGCCTGCCTTGCCGCCGCCCCCGACCGCTCTGGGCCGGCCTCCTCCCGCAGCCCCCGTCACACGCCCCGCCCCTCACTCCCCCACCCCCACACGTGGGCACCGACTGCACGACGGGTTCGGGGTCAGACTGCCAACCTCCTGAGAACGGGGCTTTCTGCCGGACTGGCCCTGGCAACACTAAATAGTTAAGAATGAAGGAACAAACCTATCACTTCTCCAGTGAACTGAAACGGTACTTTTTTCATGCAGTAAGTACTTATGGGTCTGTTTCTGGTCTCTATTTTGTAACTAGTGAGGCTACTGAGGGAGAAGGAGAGGGAGAGGAGTATCAGTGTGTGGCTGCCTCTCTTGTGCCTCTCTACTGGGGCCTGGCCTGCAACCCAGGCATGTGCCCTAGACTGGGAATCGAACTGCCGACCCTTTGGTTCCCAGGCTGGCACTCAACCACACCAGCCAGGGCCATATTTCACTATTAAATACATTTCAACAATGCCCTGATTGGCGTGACTCAGTTGGGCATTGCCCTACAAGCGAAAGGTCGCTGGTCTGATTCCTGGTCAGGGCGCACACCTGGGTTGTGGGCTCGGGCATGTGCAAGAGGCAACCAGCTCGGGCATGTGCAAGAGGCAACCAACTGATGTCTCTCTCTCACACACTGATGTTTCTCTCCATCTCTTTCTCCTTCCCTTCCCTTCTCTCTAAAAAAGAATAAAATCTTAAAAAACATGCTAATAAAGACAGTTTTGAAGTATGGGCTTTAAAAATATAATATTATGTACAGCATCCTTATAATACTATTTTTAAAAGCTCAAGTTAAGAGTGGATATGATTTTTATTCAGTACCTTTTTAAAAAAGATTTTATTTTTAGAGAGAGGGGAAAGGAGGGAGAAAAACATCGATCAGTTGCCTCTTGCATGCCCCCATCTGGGACTTGACCCACAACCCAGGCGTATGTCCTGACCAGGAATCAAACCAGTGACCTTTCGGTTTGCAGGACAATGCCCGGCCCACTGAGTACACAAGCCAGGGCTGTCCTATGTCTTTTTACCACTTAAAGCTATTACACGCTGAATTATATTAAGAGGTCTTAATATTGAACCACACTTGCATTTCTGGATGCAAGGATGCATCCAGAAGTAATTTCACTTAGCTATGGTTTCTATCTGTTGGTACTTTATTCAGAGAATTTAAAACCTAAAGTAACAAGTAGGGTAAGTTTATAGTTTTCTTTTTTGGGGTTCTCTCTCTCACATTTTGGTATCAGAACTATGCAGGTTTTATGTAAATATATGTAAAACTTTCCTTACTTTTCTATGTTCGGAAATATTTCAGATGGCATAAACCATTTTTATTCCCTAAAGCAAGGGACGCAACGGTCATACGGGCCCACGGCCTGCTGGGAACCAGCCGCACAGCAGGAGGCGAGCGGCAGGGGAGCGAAGTTTCGCTGGCATCAGGGCCCGAGCCCCTCCCCACCCCGACCCCATGAACTGTCTCCCATGGAACTGGCCCCTGGTGCCCAGAGGCTGGGGACCACTGCCCTGGAAGACTGCAAGTTCATAAACTGGGCATGTTGCTTCTGAGGAGTAGCTTTTTGGTCACTTTCAGAATATTTCTTCCTGTGGTTACTGGTGTGTGTATTTCCTGTCTTCTCACGGGTCACACAATGTGTTCTGCATGCGTAACCCCTCACTTCACTGGATCACCTTCCTGATACCCCCCCACCCCGCCCCGGAGCCACAGGCAGCCGCGCACCCCCTTACCGTGGGGTCGGTCCAGAGGGAACAGCGCGAACACTCCTGGCAGGGGGCCCCCGGGGAGCGGGGGTGCTGGCAGAAGTGGTCGTACCCGCTGATGGACGCGCGGCAGAGGTAGCACATCTGGGCCCCGCAGCGGCAGGACATGCGGTTGCAGCCCTCGGACTTGATGAGGCCGGTCCCGCACTTGTGGCACTTGCGGATGCGCGCGGCGGTCATCTTCTCCTCTCTGCAAAGAGACGGCGGCGTGACTGCGGAGCGCAGGGGCGCGCGGCCGGTGAGGACCGGTTTCCGCCCGCGTCTGGCTGCTGGGCCCTTGGGGAGGGGGAGGTGTGTGTGTGCGCTCGCGGAGTGAGGGGCGCCTCCGTCCCGGAGTCTGAGCACCGGGTTCCGCTTACCAGTTGTTGGCTTGGGGTAGATTCCTCAACTGACAGAGACTCAGACTCCTCATTTGTAAACTGGGGAACCCCAATTTTTAGGACTACAGGTAAGATAAAAAGTACCCTGGAAGAGTACATGGCATGCAGCACATTAGAAAATGACTCTTCCCTTTGTCAGAGGAGTGTCCGTAGGCTTAGAGTGGAGAGAAATAACTGAGGGTCTTCCAAAATAATGCGTTCATGTGTACAAATCAGGACAGTGGAGAGCCGGTATGCCTCTATCTCAGTTGTATTAGCACCTTGAATGTTTGAACACTTGGCAAGGGGGCGGGGCCCAGCTGGGGACGCCCCACAGCCCGTGGAACCCCACTTCCTTGGACCCCTGGCAGGGAGGAGGCGGGCACACACGACCGACGGGAAGCTGGCGGGAAGCAGCCCGCCCCCAGGAGCGCGGGAACTGGTGCGGGAGGGCAGACGGCGGGGGGCGAGGTGGCAGGCCTTGGCTCCCCCCACGCCGAGAGCCGGCCCTGGCAAGCCACGTGGCACCCATGGTACGCTCTTCGTGACACGCGTGCCTCGGCCTGTAACTGTCCACGTGCCTCCAGCTACGCGCACTCAGTTCCCTGCAGGCAGAGAGCAGAGGCGGTGCCGGTGTGCCCCGCTGGCACGAAGAGGCGTGGCCTTGACAGGGAGGTGCCAAGAGGTGTGCCTGCTGAGACCAGGGACGAGCGCCAAGGACCGAAAGGGCAGACAGCCCTGAAGCTGGGACTCATCCCGCCGTGGTCCGAGCAGCCGCGCCGGTAACAGGGCGGGGATGAGGTCTGCCCTGCAGACGGGATCCCTCGTAGGGCCGAGGGACCGCGGCGTTCCTCCCACTGCGGCCGGTTCTCCTGCTCAGTGCGAGCAGCCCTGCGAGTCGGGGGCAGGCAGGGGTTTTGGGTCACTCGTATTTAGAAGGCTGGTGTGGCAGTTTGGGCCAGTATGCTCCTCAGGAGCCAGACCATTCTTTATAAAAATAGAGAAATGCATTAGGAAATTGGCTGCTATTCATTTGGGTCTAATTTGTGAATGACCCAAAATAAAGGCAGGCAGAACTCGGGCTTGAAAAGAATTTAAACCCAGTGCAAGTTACAGAAGAACAAATGGGTTCTAAGTTTTGCTGAACAGGAAACACTGTCAAGCAGACGAAGTTTAAATGAAGTGAATTTATATTGTCGACCAAGTCACAGAATACACATGTTCAGGGTTTCAGTCGCTCAGCAACTGTGAACACACCTGCCAAGTCTCCATGTTAAGGCTCACAAGGTTCTAATGAAAAAGTTTCCAATTTTCTTAAATTTTTTTTTTTTAATTTGAGTGAGAGAGCGAGCGAGAGAGAGCGAGAGAGACTGATTTGTTGTTCCACTTATTTATGCATTCACGGGTTGACTGCCGTATTTGCCCTGACCGGGGACTGAACCCACAACCTCGGCAATGCTCCGACCAACGGAGCTGCCTGGCCGGGGCACAGCTGCCGTGTCCTACAGCACAGACTTTGCGTGTACGAGCTCCCCCGAGACTGCGGTGCAGCCTTCGGCCAGCGCACCTTGGTCGCCCGGGGCAGCCTGTAGGCTGCAGTGTGGGAGAGAGGAGGCTGAAAAGAACCACGGTTACACAGTCCCTCCTGAAGGTTTGGGGAGAGGGTGCGTCTGCTGGCTCTGCCCCCCCACACAGTCAGCCGCCAGTGTGAAGTAGTAACGGGTGTGGTAGAGGAGGAAGGGCACTCCTAAAGGGGTGAGGAGTACAGAGAGGTCGCACGCAACTCAACGCTGCTGTGATGTTCCAACAGCTCTCCAATACTGCATGAAGATCCATCCAAGTCCTCTGCTTTTGCAAACCACAGTACCAGGTGAGGCCAGAATGGCTTTCTACCCAAAAAGGATTGCTCCTACGGGATGTACCGACCGCCTACCCAGCAACATAACAATGCCAGCTGAACCGGGGAGAAATCTTCAGGGAGGAGGCGATTTGGCAACTAGATGCTGAGTTGGGCAGGAAAGAGCCCCACAGGATGTGTCCCTGTCTGAAACGGGAAGAGACGACTGAGCGGCAGCTGTGTCTGCTGACCTCGTGTTCGGACAGGAAGACTCGTTAGCCTCTTCCACATAAACCAAGAGAGACCCTGCGACTGCACAATTACTCATCTCACCGCTTTTCAAGTGTGCTGGGGCTGTGTTCCTTTGTTGTGGCACATACTATTCAAAATCTTAAATGGAAAGCTTTCCTTTGTGGATTTGTGCACATATTTTTTTTTATTGTGCTAAAACTCACATAACATATACTGTTTTAATCATTTTTAAAGTACACAGTTCAGGAGCACTTAGTATAATGGCAAAGCTGTGCAACCATCACCACTATGTTCCAGAACATCCAGAACGTCCCAGAACATTCCCATCATCTGAAAAGGAAATCCCGTATCTATCAAGCAGTAACTCCCCAGCCCCCCTTTCCCTGCAATAGCTAATCTACTTTCTGTTTCTGGTGGGTCCGTCTACTCTGTCCACAGGCAAATATCCACGTGCCTGTGGACATTTCATATCAATGGAATCAGTTAAGATGTGGCCTTTTGCGACTGGCTTCTCTCACTTGGTGTGTTGACAATGTCATCTGCGCGGCAGCACGTAGCATCCCCTCGTTACAGCCAAGTAACGTCTCGCTCACGGACACACGGCGCTCTGCTAACAACCCGCAGTGGACGGACACCGGGGCCGCCCCTCCCTCTGGACTATGAGAAGTGGCGCTGCTGCGGGCATCCTGGACGAGTTTTGGATGGAACCCCTGACTCATCTCACACCATTTAGTATGCTGTGTTTTATGATTCAGCAACGGTAAACTGCTTGTAACAACTTCCCGTGTGCACCCTGCTGCTTCTCACTTTCGACACTTGGCATCTGGCAGGGCTCCTTGGCTCTCTGACCCACGGGGTGAGCGCTGCGTGGCAGGGAGAGGAAGTGCAAGCCCACAGAGCACCCCGCCCCCCAAAAAGGAATACCAGGCTCCTGCATGACCAGGCCCCGCAGAGGCGGCACCTCTGAGACTGATGCCACCACCAGGACTTCAAGGCTGCAGGGCCGCCGATGGCCATCGCGTCTCCTTTTACGCCTCTGTCCTGAACAGAGAATGGGTCCCGGACCTGGTGCGTCTCTGGAAGCCTAATTAGGTGCTGACTAATTGCAGCTGCGGTTCCAGATGTCACTTCTCACCACAGCAAGTAAACAGAGCCTCTGGCAACTGGGATATGGCTACCGAGCTGGAAAATGCTTTTATCCTCTGTCCAATAAGCAAAGAACACCAGGAGCAGTTGGCAAGGACCTTGAGCATCTGTTGTCCAACAAGACAACACACTGGTCACCAGAGGACATGCAGATAGAACCTGGTGAACAGGTAGGAGCAGGTACTCCAGGACACACGGATACGGTGTGTGCATGCCAGGTGGTGGGCAGGCAGTCTCTTGAAAACACAGAGATCTGTGGTCTCTATGACGTTCTGGGGACCTGGAGGTCAGATGTGCATTATTAGGCCACTGATTCCAAAGCTAAGCACACGTTGCTGTATCCTGTATCCCTTACCACGAAGAAGGCAGTCAGCACTTGGGAGGCCTTTCTGGATTTTGGAATCAACACACACCGTGTTTGGATGTGCTGCTCTGATCCATTTACTGCTGATATACAAGGCTGCCAGGTTCAAGTAGGGCCCAGGCCAAGAACAACCTTCTGGTGGCTATCGGACTCAGGGGTGCTCCAAGGGCTAGGCAGACCAAGACCCCAAATGCAGCCAGCAGCAGGAACTGACAGGGATCCAGAATAGGGGCTCTGCTTCAAAAAGCAATCGGCTCCTCTTCTGAGAAACACTTCCTGGCCCACGACTGGGCCCTGAGGCAGCCCAGGTGCCTGACCCTGGGGCACCGAGAACCAGCGTGGGGCCGGGCATCCCTGCATCAGCAGCTCCACGGGGAATACACGTGACCAGGCCCGAGTGCAAGAACTCATCTGCTCACATGCTGGCACCACGTTGGTAAATCAGGGGCTTCTGCTGATGGAAGTCTTGTGGGCCTTCCCTTTATGCCACGGGGACCCATTCCGTGTGCCAAAAACCATTCCGGGCCCTGTCATCTTCACAACAACCCTACAAGCTGGTACGATTATGCTCTGCACTTTACAGATGAGGAAACTGAGGCACAGAAAAATTAAGAAATTTGCTCAAGGTCCGTAACTACAGCTATCTACAGTGAGCACTTAGTACGGGTGTCCTGACTACATGAATAAGACACCCTTCCCAGGGGCAAACCAAAGGCCCCAAAACAGCAACGACAGAAATCCCCCCCTCCTCCCACCTCCAACCAGAAATGACTTTTCTACAGCGACAAGAACAGCGTCTCTGGGAGCTGACTCGTCAGTCAGCGGAAAGACAAATCTGAAGGAGACACAGAGTGTTTCCGGCAACAGCACGACTGCTGAGGTCAGTGTGCCACCTGACCAGGTGACCACCGTGAAGCAAGAACCATCTCTGACGCGCTGGCCCTGTCGAGGCCACGCCCACGCCGCCGCCGGCCACCCTGATTGGGGAAGGCTGGCTGACGGACGGGGAAGCCCAGGCTGGAGGGGCAGTGCTGCACCTTTTCAGTTGGAGTGGCACGTGACTCTAAGTAGCTTGATGTGTTGGTTTTCTACTGTGGCCATAACCTTAATTTCATCTGCAAAGTCCCTCTGCCACGTAAGGTAAAAAGTCACAGGCGGTGGGGCCAGGGCAGGGACAGCTCTGGAGGTCCCTCTTCTGCCCACCACAGTCTGTCCTCTGGCCTCCAAAGAGTCACACCCATCCCCCCACACACCAGTCGCCTCGTCCCCAAGACCTTATCCATCACAGCACCAGGTTCGAGTCCCAAATCTCATCATCTAAACTGGGCGCAGGTGCGACTCCGGATGCGACCCGCTCGGGCACACTTCTCCGTCTGTGGGCCTGGGAAACTAAAGAAACACGTCATCCGCTCCTAAAACACAGTGAGGGGACAGGCACAGAGGGACGGTTAGAGACATTCTGGTTCCAAACCGGAGCAGATGGAGGGAATACAGCAGCCACCACTCCCAGTCAACTTGGAGATCCAGCCAGGCAGACCCCCTTGGACTTCGGACCGAGAAGAACCCTCTGTGGCTCCGCGGCTCTGCTTTCCGAGTAACCTTCCTCCTTTCGGGGAAGGTCGCGCACGCCTGCAGCCGAGCTGCTTCTCCTCAGCCCGTTTGGTGCTTGCAGAATTCGGGGGAGCCTTCCTTCATTCCACACTCCCTGGCCCCCGCACGCCAAGCTGGCCGTGTTTCTGCTGACACCAATTCCCGTGAACTCCCACGTGCGTCGCAGGGATTCACTCCGTCAGACACGAGGCTCACTCACAGACACTCCCTAGACAGCCACACCTCCGTCCCCGCCTCTGCGGCGCCGGCCGAGGAATCGTGCTGAGTTTCGTGCCGAGTTTCCCGCCGAGTTCCCCGAGGCTGCCGGCGCGACCTCGAGGGCCGGTCCTGTGAGCCGCTCCCTTCTCTCTCCGAGGAGCCTTTTCTGTGACGGAATGCTCCTGACGTTCTGGACACAGCCGTGTTTTCTGCTCAAGACCTGCTTCTCCTGACAGCGAATCCATCAGTTTTAGGCCCTTGCACCAGCTGGATAGGACGCAATTTCAGAAACAATCCCACCCCACCCTCTCCTGTCAGCAGCTCTCTCCTCAACTCACCTGCTCGCACCTGCGCGCTCCACCCCCCAGCACGCCGCGGGACCCGGCCCAGCTAAGCCCTCTGCCCTCACGGAACAAGGGTTCGCTTCCCCCCAGTTTTCGGTGACACGTTCCTACTTCCTTCTGAGTCCTCGCCGGTAGCGCCTTGCATGTCCCCATTTCCAACAACAGTCTGTTGGTGGTGATTTAAGTATTCTCTAATGAGGACACTTAGGTTTGGCCTGGAAAGTCCCCCACTTACTCTGGGCCCTCAATCGTGGCATTTCTAATGTCTGTATCTCTACTGGCCGTCTGTGCAAGGCAGTCCAGGTTTTCCCATGCTTCCCGAACTTTCTCCAGGTTCTGCCCCCTGTCCAGTTCTAAATGCACGTCCACGTTTTTAGGTATTTGTTACAGCAGCGCTCCACTTCCGGCACCAAAATCTGTGTTAGTTTTCTATTGCGTGTGTAACAAGTTACCTAAAGGCAATTTACTAGCTTAATGCAACACAAGTTTATTGTTTTATAGTTCTGTGGGGCAGGAGTCCAGCACAGGTCTCCCCAGTCCACCCCCTACTGGAGCCTCTGGGCCAGGATCTGTCTGCTGCTCATCTGGGCCGCCAGCAGAATTCGGTTCTTCAAAGCTGTAGGGCCAACGTCCAGTTCTCTAAAAACTGGAGGCTCTTCCCTGCTTCCAGAGGCCGTCACTTTCCTTGGCTCACGGCCCTCTTCCTCTGTCCTCGGAGCCAGCGAGGGGAGGGAGTCCTGCTCACGTCTTCCCGACACTGCCCGCCACTGCCCCCGCATCTGACCGGAGAAGGGCTTGCTCTCTGCTCTTAAGGAGTCGTGTGACTGGACTGTGTCTACCTGACGACCCAGAATAATCTCCCCATGTCAAAGGCCACCGCCTTGATCACATCTGGGGAGCCCCTTCTGCCACGTAAGGTGACCCATTCACAGCCCCGAGGCTCTGGAGATGAGGGCACGGACACCTCGGAGGGGCGTTACTCTGCTTGCCCAGCCTGTGGTACAGGGCAGTCAGGAAGCATGCGACAGGCCACTCACTGACCGTGTGACCGTGGGGGTCACTGCGGCTCCGTGCGTCTCAGCTGTGTCGTCCGTAAAGCGAAGACAGTCGCGCCTACCTGTAGTGCTCACCTGGACACTGTTACCTACCCCAGAAGGGCATTTCCCCATTCATTCTTTTTGTAGTAACAAAACCTGCTCCTTAACCTCCTATTTTAGGCTGGACATAAAACCACCCAGCTAGAGACGACATATGACGTCTGCCTGGGAGCAGCCGTGGCCACACGACTCAGTCTAGACCAACGGGGCATGAGCAGAAGTGACACACATACTTTCTGCATCACTTACGAAACGAAAGAAAACTGCCTGTCTGGCAACTCGCCTCTCTCTCCCTCCCCTTACCCCTGGGCTAGAGTGTGACGCGGCTGCAACCCAGTCCCCATCAGGGAGACGGGAACACCACCTGAGGTAATGGTGGAGCAGCGAGACGAAGGGACCGTGTCTCTGAATGACCTCATGGGACAGATCTGCTCCAGCCATCTAGCAAGGCTGGACACTTACATGAGAATTAGACTTTTGTATTGTTCAACTCAGTGTATTTAATAAACTAATACTTGCAAAGCGTTCAGCAATACAGGGAGTGCTACACAGTAGTGGCTCTTTCCACTGACCGCGTTACTTTGCCTGCCGGAGCTGGTGATTCTACTCGATGTCACCAGTACCCTCCAGCTAAGGCATCCAGAGCAGCGTGAGCGCCACCTGACCGAATTACGGTGTGCTGCTTGGAGGCAGCCTGAGCACTCGGTCTCCCCACACGACTCACCGCCTCTCTCTCGGCCAGCGAGGCAGGCGAGCGTGCGTGTGGCTGTGCTGCGAACCAGCCGATAACCCCCGAGTCACGCTACTCACATGGATGTTCGGTACTTGATGTCATCTTTTTCAGCCAGCTCTTCACAGGTGAGGCCATTGTGCTCTTTCCAGAGTCCCTGGCACTTCCTACAGGTCTCCTGGGGACAAAGCAGAGACACGCAGACAGCCCCTGGTGAGTGCACCCCACGCAAGTCTCTGCATGGCAGCAGGAGGTGTGACGGGCGCCCCACGCCGCCGGAGCTCCTCCAGAGGCCCCCCCCGCCCCCGCCCCAGCAGGCGCCCTTCTGCCGACATCTCAACAGATCAGGGAGAGTCAGTCACCAGGAGAAAGCACGAGACAACGCTCTCTCCTTGGAGCAGAAGCATGTGTGGCTCCCCCGGCTGGAGCGTCATCCCAAACACCAAAGGGCTGCAGGTTCGATCCCCGGTCAGGGCACCTACGGGAGGCTGCCAAGTGATGTTTCTCCCTCACATCGACACTCCCCCTGCTCCCCGTACTCTCTCTACAAGCAACGAAAAAAAATGTCCTCAGGTGAGGATAAAGAAAAAAAAATAGAGAGAGGATTCATTGTTTTCATCACCCAATCTGTATAAGACTTTCTAAAACACCAGGACCCACCCCCGTCCCCACCAACAACAGACAGATTTATGGGATTTGGGACTTTTCTTTTTAAGACGTTATTTCTTCTTAGACAGAGGTGGAGGGAGGAAGAAAGAAAGGGAAAGAAACATCAGTGCGTGGTTGCTTCTCGCACGCCCCCACTGGGGACCCGGCCTGCGGCCCAGGCGCGGGGTCCAGGTCAGGGCGGCGGGCATTCCCTCCGGCGCCCGGCCCTCGGACACTCGAACCCTTCTCCATGGCTCAACTTCGTTTATAAACAGGAACTTAAAAAATCACTCCTTTTTATTCTAGGATTCCTTGCAGTTTATAAACTATCTCACACTAGTAGTAGGGATTAAAAAAGAAAACATCCATTCAATCTAATCTAATTTAATGTCCACAGGTGGAAATCACAACCCGGATAACCCCAGTAAAGACGACGACGCTGGCGGCTTTAACTGGGGACCTGATCTAGCAGGGGGACAGTGATGGCTGGAGGAAGTGCAGCCCAGAATCTGAGCGAGGAGGCAAAGGGCGCCAGGCGGAAGGACGCTCCAGGCCGAGGAGCGCAGGCGCGGCCGGCAGGCCTGGCTCCTGAGGCCGGGCTGCAGACAGTGAACACAGGCCCGGTGAGGCCCACGGGGGCCTTGTGGGGTGTGATTATCAGCTTGACTTTCATCCTGAGAGCACTAGGAAGGCGTCCAAAGGTGGCGAGCACGGGAGTGACATGAGCAGCTTTGTGATTTTACAAGATCATTTTCCACGAAGAGACTGGCAGGACGCAAGAGTGGAAGCGTAAGAGACAGGGCGTGATCAGAGTCGTCCAGAGATCAAGGAGGCCCAGATCTAGGGCTGCAGGTGAGGCCCGACAGAGAGCCGACTGACTTGAGAGAAGCTGAGGAAGCGGAACTGGCTGGCGGGCGACAGCCGGCTCTGGGAGTGAGGGGAGGGAGGCGTCAGGGGTATGGCCTTGGTTTCTGGTTTGTGCAGCAGAAGGTCACAGCAACACAGGTGGAGCCTGGGGACGGCGGGAAAAGCGTGGCTTGGGTACAGGGAGGCGGCTTTAAGACCCAGAATTTGACACGGGTGGTGACGGCAGAGGAGGACCTGTGGGGCACTCAGCAGAGCGGGCAGACAGGCAGGTGGGTGTCAGTGTTGAGCGCCTGGGAGTGGCTGGGCCGGAGATCGCCACGAGACTCACTAGATGATGTTTTCACATCAAGGCTAACAACATCTACCCCTGTGCCCTCCACATTATTGGACATTTTCTAGCACACACTGCTAGGCTAACTCTAACAGGGCACAGAGTGGTACGTACAGCATGGATGCTATCATTTCTGTGGTGGCGAGGGGAGGAGAGAGTGATACATGAAACCAACTGGAAGGACACTCCAGCTACTGTTAGTACCGACTGTCCCGAGTGGCTGGGAGGCAGGCATGAGGCTTCTTACTGTAGGCCTTTTGAATCTTATACCATGTAAATGTACTACCTAATTAAAAGATAAAATTTAAAGCAAGAGGATAGTGGAATGGACCGCCTGGGGAGCTGAGGACTCGAACAACCCTTTGGTGGGTGTGGTAAAAAGGCTCCGAACAGCAGAACGAGGTGGCGTGGGGGTGGGAACGAGCTGAGTGAAGATTCTGTATCAGATGCTCTTGTTTCCAAGGCGAACGATGTTCCAGTCCACTAATTACACCCCTGTCAGCAAACAGAGCCTAAACCAGCAGTGAGTTAATTATCATGCACCAGAATTTAAAGCAGCACAAACCCCATTTCTGAGAGACCTTTCCCCGACTAGCCCATGAAACGGGAGGATAAACAACAGCTGGAGAATACAGGCGAACTGGCAGCTAGCGGGATCTTAACCTTCAAAATGACACTGACCTAGCCATCCGCCAGGAACAGAGCTTGAAAACAATGCAGAGCATTTAGATAATGCTTTGTAGCATCCCTGGAGACCCAGTTATCACTTCACGGCCCTTCTTCACAAGGGAAGAACCTGTTTTCCAGGTGAGGCGCAGGTCCACGACAGCAAGATGGCTGGGCCAGGCTGAGTCCATGGTGAGGGGTCACTGGAAGCGACCACTCACTTCCAAAATCACAGCGGTTCTCCTGCAGGCCCATGGGTGGGTTTGCGGCCTGGTACTTCTCACTGAAAGAAGGGCCCGGGGGTCCCGGAGAATAAAACCAAAATGTCTTCTGAAAAGTCTAGCCAGCCAGACACCGAAATCCACAATTAAAACAAGACAAGCAAACAGCAGGCTGGGTAAATTTAACACTTGGAGCTTTTGCTTTAAAAATGTACCCTCTCTTCTGAACATAGTATATACTTAACTAAATTGTAATTCTCTCCTCTCAAGCACAGCTGGGCTCTGTCCCTAGACTCAACAAACGCTTAAAACAGTATTAGGCAGAAGAAATGTTCGAGAACATTTCTAACAGGAAGAAGCCCCATTCTTCAAAGCGAGGTCAAGGAGAAAGTCCCAAGGACCACTCTGGAAGGCAGAGCACACTTTGGCAAACACCTTCAGGACGCGAAGGCCGGCACATCCTGGCTTTCAAATCTAACCGGAGACTGTGCCCCCCAACACCTGTGTGCGTTTCTGGAGCCGGCGGAAGCAGCTGCTTTCACCGACATCCCGAGTACAATGCGCACACGCACACATCCGGGAGGGGGGGCGGGGAGGGGCTAAGTCAGAGAGCCCTTTGAGGAGTCAGCATCTTCACGGGGCTGACTCACACAAGCCTCCCAGGGGGTGAGAACACCCGGGCAACCAGTCAAGTCCCCTTCCCACCTGGGCTGACAGTTCCTTGTGAGGCACCTTTCCCAGCTACGACAGCCATTAAAGCCGAGTACCTGAAGTGTAGAACCAGGCCACCAAACATGAACAATGAAATATGTTCATCATATTTTAATGAGCATGGAAGGTTTCCATGTCATTAAATAAAATTATTTAGAAGTATGACTTAACATCACCTTTAAAACGTCTTGTATTCTTGTTATATTTTGCAGTGTATGTTACAACAGGAGCACACACACACAACTCACAAACACACACACACACACACACACACACACACACTCCGGGAGGTGTCCTGCTCCGTGCATCTCTTCCGGCACAGTGAGCAGCTGCAACCACAGAGCGGTGCGCCCACTGCCCCGGGCGGGGAGAGGCACGACCGGGCAGCGGGCTGCCGGCTTGCCGTGCCAGGGCTTTGGTGGGCTGAAGGGGCTGAAGGGGCTGACGTGCCAGGCAGGAAGACAGTCAAGCACAGCTGGAGGAGTGAGGAGAGCGATGAGGGAGAAGTCTCTAGTAACTTCTGAGATTCTGACTTGGGACGCCAGCTGGACTGGTGGAAACGTGCACTCAGACCGAATGACGCAGGAGGAGAAGCAGACCCAGTGACGTGAGAGCTCAGGCGACAGCAGAGTCTAGTTTTAGACCGGCATCTTTATCCACCCCCAGCATCTGCGGAACTCTATCATTTGTCAAGTGCTGTGTGAGATGCTGGGGCTATGGCGATAAGCAAATCAGACTCCGTGTCTGCCTTCCTGGAGCTTTCGGTCTAGTGAAGAAAACGGATACTGCACAAACAATATACACAACTACAATGGTGAGGGGAACACTGCGGAGGAGGAGAGGAAAAGCATCGGGTGCTGTGAGCATGACACAGCGGAGTCATGTGGGTCCGGGCTCAGAACGGCCTTTCTGAGGACGCGACTCGGAGCGGAGCCCTGAAGGGTGAGCAGGGCTGGCAGGTGTTCGGGCAGAGTGGGGGAGGATGTGCGCTGGGCGCTGGCGAGGAAGGGGGCCTGTCTCGTTCCGGGAGCGCAGAGGAAGCTGGTGCGGACAGAGTCCGAGGGGCGGAGGGGCGGGGGAGAGGGGTGGGGCGGGATTAGGATGGCCAGTGGCCAGTGCAGACACTGAGGCTAGAGGGACGGATCTGGAAGCAGGCTGAGAGGGTGAGGCTGTCCTTGCATTTTCACAAGTTTGCTCCGGCTGCTGATGGCGCAGGGCCATCTGGCTAAGCCGCAGGGCCTTGCAGCGACCCCTCACTCAACTGGGGCCAAGTCCCTGACTCGGGGGAAGCAGGCCCTGGAGTCGGGACTCTATTCTCGGCCAGACTTCCTCCACAGCCCTCCACAAACTCCTTCCGGAGCCCCGCTGTGCCAGCGCTGAGGCTGGCGGGCTGAGACCCGCCTGGGACTAGGGAAGTAGCAGCGGGCCATCTTTTCTTGTTAGGAACAAAAGCTGTTCCCATATGGTTTCAGAAAGGGACTTTACTATTGTTTTGAAAAGACTCTTTTTCAGCTTTGGCTCTGCAGATGGATTTCCCACGAGAACATGCTCTACAAGGCAGTGCGCACCTTCAGCAGCACCATGAACTCTCACGCCCTCCCACTGCCCCGCAGTGCCGGCTCCTGGGTCCACGCCCGAACACTGTCTGGGGCCAGGTGCTCCGCAGACGCCTCTCAGTCAGTCTTCAGAGCCACTCCACGAGGGCGGTACTGGACCATCAGCCTCCTCTTCTTA